TTCCACAGAGCCTGCCCAAGGGAGCAGTAGAGTGGGACTTATTTAGCAGAGCAGTGGGTTGTCGACAGGATCGCATTAACGACCAGATGTAATTAGCATCGTTATTCATGTCCACATACTGAGCAGCTATATTCTCTAGGCATCTCAATACGTGTATGCCTTTGGGTAAATCGTCTGTCTTTGGGTATATGGTCTATTTAAGTGATTCCCAAGCATTCAATGGGTGCACGACCATTTATCACCGTGGCCACATTCTTAGAGTACTTGAATTCATCGTAATCCTTGTCTTTTAGCCTTGCATGGAGCATAGGGTCTCGAACAATGTCAGCCAAGTCCTACCTTACATGGAGCATAAAGTCTCAAACAATGTCAGCTAAGTCCTAATATATTTTGCCATCAATTCAAACTCATCTCTTTATGTTCTCGTCATTTTATTAGCATCATGTTTCATTGTGTTTTGTTGTCTCTTTACGCGTATCTGCACGTCGTTTCCAGTGCAAAACATCATAGTTAGACCACTATCAGTTTTTCTCAGATCTTACAGCGTCTTTTCTTCTAACTTAGTGTCATTTGTGTGTGTTTCCCTGCTCAAGCTGCACATTAGTGATTCCTTTATGACATTTGTACTAGTATCCCTGCTCAAGCTGCACGTTATTGATTCCTTTATACCATTTGTATTTGTTTCCCTGCCTAAGCTGCACGTTAGTGATTCCTTCATGCCATTTGTATTCAATGTGTTTTGCCAGTTACAGAACTTGACTGACTGACTGCACAGGCCTTAGGCGTGCAGCCATGAAGCCCACTGCATCTGGACGTCAAAGGTAGAGGGAGATGAGCAAACAGTCAACAGAAACTGGTGACCCAACGACGTGTAGGGATATCCTCTGAATATCGGTCCCAAATTATCGAGGCTAAGAAAATACTTTAACAAGGCCTCAGTCACATGCGAATTGCGGACCTCTTTCCAGCGACTATACCGCCACCGCTGAGAGTATATTCCGCGCTGCGAAAGGGAGCTAAACTAGATGGCTAGGACTAACGAGCAAGTAAAATGGAGGAAGCTGTAGGAGATGCGGTAGCTGCTGCTCGTTAGTCCCAGCCATCTTGTTTAGCAACCCCCCCCCCCTTTTTTTTTTTGCACCGCGCATAGAGGCGCGGGGGAAACTCTCGGCGGTGTCGGTATAGTCGCCGGAAAGAGGTCTGCAATTTACATATAACTGAGGCCCTGTTAGGGTATTTTCTTAGCCTCGATAATTTGGGACCGTTTTTCGGAGGATAGCCACTTGCAGTGTTACGAGAAGACGATGATTCTCTCAATGCACATTCTATAGAGATCCAAATATATTTTGACTGATAAAAGCACTGGGGCTGCGTGGTCTCGAGGTATGGCATTCGCCTCGACTGCTGGAGGTCCCGAGTTCTGACCAGGTAAAGGCTCGGATTTTTTCAAGTGGACCTCTAGTATTTTCCCCGGTCTCTCGTTAGTGCAAAAGTTTTAGCTAACATTCTACCCAAAGTATTTCAGGATCCTTGCCGGTTTAACGGAGTTAGTGCACTGCGCCGAGATTCTTCAGACTCAGGCTTGAGTTAGAAGTAGAATAGAGCACTTAAGGGTCTACATTCGTGTGCATGATGTTGATCCGTCGACTAAACTAAACTAAACTAAACTGATAAATTACTGAAGCAGCAACGAAATCCAAAATAAACTATACCACAAACGTTGGACAAAAACAAAAAAAAAAGGGGGGGGGGGGTGGTATCAAAAGTGCCGGACTAGACTACATACGATGTCAGGAAAGATTGCATATAATGTATCTGAATAGAGAAGTGGACTGTCGTGAATTTAGGGCACACAATGTCACAACAGCATGGGCATCAAAGATAATTTTGAGGCACGAATACATTTAAAACATGACCGTTCTCCTGAATCTGTCCACGTAAATCATAGGGAATAATATATTGGGAATGCTAACCTAGTCAACAAATGCCCGCAGAAGTCGGATGTGTTGACCGAAAGGTGCAAATTTCGCAGTCATGCTGCAAACGGACACAACGCAATTACATCTTCGGATGAACGCAAGAGAAGAATATTTAAGGACTTCTGTTCCATCCACTTCTGGGAATCACTGGACTATACAAAAGAATAATCCTGCTAACTATTCCCTGATACGGTGTAGTACTGAAGGGTATACATAATCCTCAATCCTCTCTCCCCGCGCTCAGATTAGCTAGCTGGACGCGCAGAGCAAGTCCTGAGCTGCGGCCTACAGTCACTCAAGTGGCGCTAATTAATGAGTCTGGGGGAAATCATTATAAACATTGGCAGTGTTTAAAAAAGTTAAGGACCCTTTTCTAAAGGGGTATTGGGTATATAGGGCTAGACCTATATTTTATAGACCAATAGAATAAATAGCACTTAGTGGGTGATATGGACGCCTTTACTTCCTAGGACTGTACCTGCTACCCACTCAAGGCTGGGTCGACCTGGAGGGGGGGGGGGGGGGGGGAGTCATGGAAAACAATCCGGACCTCGTCAGGAATCGAACCCATGAATTGGCAGTGTTTGTTTCCTTATAAATGATTTGTTTTCCCTTTTAGCCTAGTGTCCTGCAAGTGAAGAGGTAAATCTCAGAGGTCGGGACTCGAGTCCGACTAAAGTCGTATAATTAACGACTTCCGACTCGACTTGAGGTTTTGTCCAGCGACTCGCGACTCGACTTACAGCTTCGACGACTTGGTACGACTCGCTCTTGGTGATCAGCCACTGACAGGTAGGTTTAGTGACCAACCTCAAAATCAAAAAAAAAAAAAAAGTCTTCATAGAAAACAGGACATAATATATTATGGTTGATTTATCAAGCTTCCACATTCAATTTCATTTTTTTTTTTTTAAATATAGTTTAGAGAGTTTTTGGCACAGTCATTTTCGTTTTTGTATTTTCATCATTTTTGATTGAATTTGATCTTTTTTTTTTTTACCGTTAATAATGTTAGGCTCTCAACCAACTCTCACAAAACTCGTTCTAGCCTTCGTTATGGCATGTCCTCCGCATCTTTTTAACTTTACTATTTAGCTCCCTTCTCTTTGTGTGTTTTTTTTTTTTTTTTGGGTCTTCCTGTACGTCTATTCCCCTGTGGGTTCCAGTGGAAAGACATTCTAGTTATACTGTTCTCAGGTTTCCTCAACGTGTGACCTATCCAATGTCAGCGTCTTTTCTTCACCTCTTGGTCTACTGGGACTTGATTAGTTTTCTCCCGAAGCCGGGGAATTCACGGGAAGCAAGAATAGTAGTAACACTGCACTCTATCAGACATGTCGTAAGAAGCTACTAAGGGTAGGGTTGGGCTTTAGTTGGCTACCTCACCGTGTATAATTAAAAACAAGGAAAAAAAGGAAAAGAAGAAAAGAGAACAAGAAAGGAAATAGGTGAATTCATTATTCTAGTATTTCACGACTTGCAAATGATACATGAAATGACATGACTCGAGACTCGACTAGGATGCATTCTTCCTGACTTGAGAATTGATCGGAATTTGGTGGCAGAGACATGGAACTCAGTTTGGACATGAAGACTGTCGACATAGTCCAACCTCTGGTAAATCTGCTTGCTTACTTACATAGGTATAGGTTCAAATCAGGAGAAACTTTGAAGACTTGTATATGGTACAGATAACTGGAGACGGTAGAAAAAGAAACAAACCATATTCCTTATTGTGTGTGGTCTTAACTTGAAAAACATAACACTTCAGACTGCGACAGCTGTACGGCTACAAGATCACATGTGTCCTTTTAAGTTCATTAGTCAATCAATCAGATGCCGTCTCCTCAGTGAAGGTTGGCTGTAATGGATCTGCAACGTGCCCTGTCTCTTGTCCTGGTTGTACTCTCTCACACTGCTTCCCGTCCATCTCTTGGTGGTGTCCGCCCACTTGTATCGTTGCCCAAGTCTTGCTCTCTTGTCTTCGAACTTTTCCTCCAGTATGGTTTTTAAACAGCATGTTATGTTTTTTTTTTAAGTTAGACACTAACTATAATAATGGAATCTAGCCTGTAACTGGTCTATTGGGGGGGGGGGGGGGGGGGAGAGACTAGATATCAATAAGTTGTAATCTATATATTAGTAATTTGTAAACTATATATTAGTAAGTTGTAAACTATTTTTTAGTAAGTTGTATTTAATGGTGTGGCTGGCCTAGTCAGAGACCAGTCGAGCGGTTACAACGTCGGGCTCTCATGCAGGAGACCAGGGTTCCTAACCAGTACAGTCCGTGGCGACAACAGTAGCCGTGTGACCCTAAATCCTCAGGCTTACAAAATGTCTACACCACCATAAGGTATGGAAAATACAGATAATATTGACCTTTCTTTTTAATTTAATGGATTCTGCATTAGGGTCGTATTGCATGGAAACTAATCTAAACTTGACCTCTGTCATGGAAATATTTCAGACATAATGGATAAATGGATGGATGGACCGACGGACAGATTGATTGGTGGATGCACGGATGGATGGACAAAGAATGAACGTAATAACGAGGGGACATACAGTTAAACGGACTGACAAACGTGTTGATTAACAGACAGAAAGTAAGATGTCGCACCTTCATGTTAACAATCATAGCGGACAGTCACACATATCTCGTGTCAGTAGCATTGCTGAGACAGACAAACGGACAGACAGGCAGGCAGTTGAGCGGGCGTACACACAGTCATGACTACTCCATGCTGGCCACCGTAGACACACCATCGCCACCCCACGGACATTTACACAAGGACCTGTGTATATTCCAAGAACTAACAAAAGTATGCAAATAATCAATTATCTTCGCGGCTTTCCCAGCAGATGATTCCCGATAATGGCCTATTCATTCCCCGGACGACCATCAGAATCTGTTTATTACGCAGCGAAAATATTCTCTCTAATTAGCCTAATGGAAGTGCTACCAATAACCCAGTTCCAACTTTCAAATCCCTAATTTTCTTCTTAATGTCAGGGAACCATAGTCTGCTTCTGGGGGGCACCAAACCAATTTTTGCAGCGCAGGGTAGTCTCGTTCTGGTGCTAGTAACCCGGTTAGGGAGACCGGATGTCTGCGACAATCCGGGCATTTATGGATTATGGATGTTGGATGATAGGGGGTTGTGTTTTTTTTTTCACGAAAAAATGAACGTGAGTACTAACAATTGTGGGATATTGTGTAAAATACCCCGGTGTACCATTAAACGTTTGCCGCAAGTGATTGGCACAGGGAGACTATCAACCGGGTGTAGTGTAAATCATCGAAGCGTGCGGTCGACTTCACAGCGGGGCCAAACTCAGTGACGTGGATGAACTCCGTTCTTTCTGGCATTTGGGAATACAGCGGAAATGCATGAATTATGAGCTTATGTCTGCTGAAGTTCTTTCTTTTCTTTCTTTCTTTTCTTTCTTTCTACTTGCTTGTGTTTTCTTTCGTTCGCTAGTTCTGCCTGTCTGTGTGTCTGTCTTTCTTATATCTTTCCTTTTTCGATCTTTTTGTTCTTTTCTTCTCTCTTTCATTCCATGTAGCGTTCCTTAGCTAGTTTCTCTGGGGGGCGCAGGTGTGTTGGGAAATGAGCAGACAGACAGATTGGCTGGTTCTGTACCAATGGAAGGTGTATTTATGCATGGCAAAACTAGAAATGACAAGTGAACAATGCTGACGCAAGAAGATTACTGTCTGCAGACAATGATACAGCAAACAGTGACCATGTGATGTGGTGGACATTCTACTCTCAAAGGAAAGGCAAATGAGGTCATCGGGTAACCACAGTTCCAGCTTTATAGCAAACGGGTCACTCCACAGTTGTCCCATTCATGCGCCAACAGAACAATTCATAATGTTCATCACTGTACCTTGTAAAAACACTCATCCAGACTGCAGTATTAGCAAATCCAACAGCATACACACGCTTTAAATGAAAAAGGCAGTAGTCAGAAGTGCCAACACAATCAGTCCGACAGAAGAACTGGCGTACTTTTCGGGTAGTAGTAGTAGTAGTAGTAGTAGTAGTAGTAGTAGTAGTAGTAGTAGTAGTAGCAGCAGCAGCAGCAGCAGCAGTAGTAGTAGTAGTAGTAGTAGTAGTAGTAGTAGTAGTAGTAGTAGTAGTAGTAGTAGTAGTAGTAGTAGTAGTAGTAGTAGTAGTAGTAGTAGTAGTAGTAGTAGTAGTAGTAGTAGTAGTAGTAGTAGTAATACCTTTCTTAAATGTTTGGTACTCTATACAAAGCCATAAGGTCTACTGTGTTCATAAATTGTTGCTGTGTTTGTTATCCGACCTATGCTTCGTTAATATACATTTCTGTAAATGGTGCCATTTCAGTGGTTTGAAATGAATTCTGTCCGTATTCCATATTTGTGGATTTTAAGCTGTACGATAGACATAGCCAAAACAGACACCTTTTTAAGGGTGTCTAGTTGACAATGTTCTTAGTGCACTTGTTTCCATAGCGAGGCGGCGCCGTCTGGGGGTGACAGGTTTGATCCCCGGCACGGTAACTTTAGTCTTCGATTTTTATGTTGTCTATTGTGTTCTTCTATCTTTCTGCTTCTTTCTATGCCTGACGATCAAAACATTTACTCTATTAACATATAGTATTACAGTTGCGCTGTGGAAAATCACAATCTCTCATCGTGTAATACTCCACAAACAGTGAGTGCATTGCAAGCCGGCCTTCACTGTAATTTTTATTATCGTTTATTAAAGACATTTTTGGTATTTATATTTCCACTTCCACTGTCCACCACCCATTTGTCTGACGTGAAAAACTTGACGTTCTGACTCCGTGAAAGAAACCTATGTTCTCTTGAAAAAACACGTTCTCTCTTTTACAACTTTTTATTTATTTCTGAATTTTGCAAATTTCTCGGCCATTGTCTCACTATCTGCTCAAGGTGAGAGGCAATACAAAGATTTGATTTGATTTGATTCAAGAACCGACATCACAGCATTCTGTGCATTCCCATAAGCGCTCTGTCCCCATCTTCAGCAGCCGGCGAAGATTTCGGATACTAATGGTGCCAGTAGAATTCTGATTAAACGTCCGTCTTGCCTTTCCTCTGAGCCTCGAGCATCTGCCAGAACTTCTCGTCACACCCCGCTGCATCAATCTCACCAGACTGTGGTGATCCATCTGCTCCTCCTAACTGTACACGCGCTCCCACAAGGCACTAACCACGTCTGCCTTATCATGTATCAGTATTTCACCAAGTTGTGCAGAGCCAGCCAGTATGTCCATTTGTTCATTTCCCAACACACCGGCGGCCCCGGCACTACAAAGGTGATAGATGACGGGCGCAAACACACATGCCCACAGATTAGCTGGACCTCTTTATACAACAGTGACGAGTCGCTGCGTGGTCTTGAGGCATGACGTCAGCCTCTACTGCTGGAGGTCCCGGGTTCAGGCTCCGGTAAAGGCTGAGATTTTTTCACGTGGACTTCTAGTAATTTCCTTTGGTCTCTGAATAGTAAGATCGGACGCCGGTGTGTATTGTTGCGCATGTCCCTTGGCAGTTGGAAATCGAAATCAGTAGCCTTATCAAAATTCTCAGTTAAAAATTAGCTCAAAATAATTCAGGATCCTCGCCGGTGCTACGGAGTTCGTGCACTGGACTGAGAAACTTCGGACTCAGACAGGAGCACTTACTTATGGGTTACTACCCTCATGACATGATGCAGATCCGTTGTTCAAACCTAACAACAGTGAAAAGATGGTGGCGGGGGGGGGGGGGGGGGGGGGGGGGTGCAGTGGCCCGGTCCTGTGACAGTATCTACCGGCCTATTTAAAGGGAGTTCCTCACGGGGTCCAGCTTTTTTAAAAATAAAAACGACATTGTCTTCCAGATCGACCCAGCCTTTAGTGGATACTGGGTGCAGTCCTGGGAAGTAAAGGTAGCCGGCATGATTCTGACCACATCACTAACCAAGTGCCGTTAAGTCTATACGATACCGCTATAGCCCTAAACACCCAATACGCCTCAAAGGCGTGGAAAATGGTCCTCTACTGTTATCTAAAGGAATGACTAAGACAGACCTGGAAATATTTAGCTGCATGGACTACGGGCCTAAAATTTGCTGTCTATCCTTTTTCCCCTGTCTCCGTGTCTATCTGTTTGTTTAGGTGCATTCACAAACCACAAGAACAATTTATAGTATCGAGACAGACAGACAGACAGACAGACAGACAGACAGACAGACAGACAGACAGACAGACAGACAGACAGACAGACAGACAGACAGACAGACAGACAGACAGACAGACAGACAGACAGACAGACAGACAGACAGACAGACAGACAGACAGACAGACAGACAGACAGACAGACAGACAGACAGACAGACAGACAGACAGACAGACAGACAGACAGACAGACAGACAGACAGACAGACAGACAGACAGACAGACAGACAGACAGACAGACAGACAGACAGACAGATAGATAGATAGATAGATAGATAGATAGATAGATAGATAGATAGATAGATAGATAGATAGATAGATAGATAGATAGATAGATAGATAGATAGATAGATAGATAGATAGATAGATAGATAGATAGATAGATAGATAGATAGATAGATAGATAGATAGATAGCAGACTGACAGACAAACCGACAGACAGAATGTGTACAATACACTCAGCTGAAGAATACAAATGCAAACCCAAAACCCACAGGTCAGACAGAAGCGCGGACAGACGGCCACAATCTTTCCCTATAGTTAAACGATTTTCGATTTTCGCGCAAGAATATGACAGAAATCACCTTACGCGTCAATTTTGCGAATCCTACTCGACAGGCAACAAACACTTCAATCCATGTGTCAATAATGAAAGACGTTCATTTTCTGGAGTTAGGGGGTTTTATGTTGCCACCTTAGCTCAGATTTATGAGAAAACTAGCTAAATAAAAGCGAAATAACATAGTAAGGTGCAACTAACATCCAACAAACTAACAGGTACTTCCTTTGGGCCTTTAAAATATTTCAGGCTACGATAGAATGAAATGGACAGACCAGTTTCTTCTTCGTCGCACTACATTTTTCTTCTTCTCGTTCCATCTTTAAAATGTCATTATGTTCGTCTGCACCGAGATATCGGCGTGCTTAAGACTCCTGATATTCTCCAAAGCAGTGCCGACAGGTTACAAGATAATAACATAGTTTTTGTAATTTCTATAAAACGTTGAAGTTTTCATTTGAACCCCCATCGTATTTCTACGTCCCTGCTCCCCAGATGCCCAGTGATCCAATTATTCCTGATTACAGAGTGTTGAACAAATGTTTATCCCACTCTCCAGACTGTAGACTAAGACTCTGTATTAATACACGCGTTTGATACTCCTATCTCCTTCTGGCACGTATACGTCAGCATTGCATGATAAAGATCCTTGATCTACTTATAAAAGGAATGCTTCTACCCCACAGGCAGTCACCACGTCTCTTGCAGTCTTTAATCACTTTCTTTAGCCTGGGCTGCTGCCTATGCCTGGGGAAATGATTCCTCCTTGGTGAAGCTGTGATGTATCGATTGTGATTATACGATGATACTCTGATTAAAGATTTTCATTCTAATGTCATATCAATATTGCTGTATGGAGTGAAATCATGGAGAACTAAAAACTTCGACTAATTAACTGCAAACATTCATTAAATGGTGCCTGCGCAGAACAGGGAGAATTAAATGGTGTGATAGAATCACTAACATTGAGCTTCTGGAGAGAGTTAAATAGGTTCATCTGGACGAAAAGGTGAATAAAACAGCGATGTTTACCGTTGGTTAAGACACCTTTGAGAAAATCTGAGAACAATATAACTAGAATCTCCTTGCAGTGGAACCAAAGGGGCACATAAATAAAGGCAGACCAAAACTTAAAACACACTGGACAGGAAGCCAGAGAGGGAAGTTAAAAAGACAGGGCGATAACCGAAATGGACTTTTCAACAACGTTTGACTGTACTCAATGCAAGGAAGCCAGGGCATGAAGTTAAAAAGAATGGGGTGGGGGAGGGACGAGGGGAGGGGCGGGAGGAGGAGGGATTAAGTATTTTAAAAACAATTACGGAAAGTATAAATTGACGTATAAACGACATTTTACTGTACTCAAGGATGGCTGCTGCATTGTGGGCTGTGCAGGACTAGCCCAGCGAGAAGTGACA